CTGGGCGGGGGTCCCTGTCCGGCGCCCTGGCCGCGTGGAGCTGGGGGGCGGGGGCTCCTGGTGCTGCTTTTGCCACGTGCGGTGAGCGTGTCCCTATTTCAGAGTGAAAAGCTAGAGAAAAAGCAGATGGACGTGACATTTCCCAGCGGCACCCCTCGGATGGCGCTCTCTGCGGCTTGGGGAGTGGAGTTTCCATCCACATGGAGGTGCCTGCTGGGGCCCAAGTGAGAACACCTGGTGCAGAGAAACCCGGGCCGTTTGCTTGTGTGGCCAAGGGCGCTGTCGTGCAGGAAAGTAGAGAAAGCAGAGGTTCAGGATGGCTCTTGCCAAGGGGAGTACAGTGGCGGGGAAAGGGTGTACTCCCTTTGTCCAGTGTCCCGGCTGTGAATGTCATGTCACCACTGGGCCCTTGAAATGCGCTGGGCCAGACTGACCCGTGCTTTGAGTGTAGCACGCGCTTGGGTTTCTAAGACTTCGTATCAGAAAAGCAACGTGAACTATCTCAGTAACTTTACTGTTTACAAATTAAAATGGTAATATTTTTGGTGTTTTGGGTTAAATACATATCACTAGGGTTAATTTTACCCTTCTAAAAAAAACCTTTTTAATGTGGCAACCAGAAAACTTAAAATTTACGTATGTAGCTTACATTTTATTTCCATGGGACAGTGCTGATCTACACCAAATTAAAATAAGAACTGGATGATGTGCTTATTCTATCAAGCTCAAAGGCTGCATAGTTAAAGTAATATTTTATCAGTGTAACATTAATTTCAATCTCTGATCATCTTTGAAATCATAAAAGCAGTACATGGTTATGAATGTATTTTGATTGGTTTACTCAAACATTATGTAAATTAGCAGGTGGTTGTTTGTCTTTATTAACATTTTAAACGAGTTTCTTAGCTATAAAGAAGTCTTTAAGGTATTTCATTTGGAAAATTCCGATTGAGATAAAGATTAATGTTTGTGCAAAAGCCCACCATAAAACATTGCTATTTGTATCTTCACTGATCATTCGAAAATTTTCTTCACGGTCCTATATGGAAGAGAAATAGGCAGGGTTAGTTTCTTACAGTATTTAACTGTGAATTTGAGGGGAAGGTGCTATGCTTTGAAGATATTTAATATTTCCCATTTAATATACCAAAGTGCAGTATCTGATTTTCTAAGTCAGGGTATGTTAGCTAAAGACAAGGATTAGGGGCGCCTGGGTGGCTCAGTCGTTAAGCGTCTGCCTTCGGCTCAGGTCATGATCCCGGGGTCCTGGGATGGAGCCCCATGTCGGGCTCCCTGCTCAGCGGGAAGCCTGCTTCTCCCTCTCCCTCTGCTTGTGCGCTCTCTCTTGCTCTCTGACAAATAAGTAAATAAAATCTTTAAAAAAATAAAAAGGATTAAGAATCAACCTTAAAGAAAGCATATTTTTGTGTTTTGATGGAAAATAGATGCTATTTGATCTATTATCTTATTCATTTTATTTCTCACTATCGAGCAAGTGAATGTCAGCCAACAGTAATAGATTTTCAAAATTGGTGTCCTTACTTTACTTCAAGCTGGGCACTGTCCTCCTTATTTTCCAGGTAAGGAAGCTGGAGTCTGGATTTGAGCCCATGTCTGACCAGAGTCCACTGAGCACAGTGACCCAGGAAACATGCAGTGTCACAAAAATAAAACTGTGATCTAGAAAATGGGCATACTGAGCCTCTTCATGCATGTCGAGTGTGTTTGGGAGCATTTATTCATTCTGTTAAGCCCACACCCCAGAGGCCAATGAGCTGCAGTCCCCTTTCCTAGAGGAGCTCACAGTCTGCCAGAAGGTGAAAGATTGTTCTTTCCCTTCACCCCGAGTGTCCCCACAGTGCTAGCTCAGAGAGAATGACCGAGGAACAGGCAGTTTATCCTTTCTGTCCAGAATTTGGGGGCTTTGTCTCCAGAATTGCGTTCCTGGCAGGAAGAGATAAAATAAGCTGAATAGGCACACTGACCCTTTGATAGTTTTGTTCTTTGACTATTTGCTCAATTTGCTCAATTAGATGTTCCAGCTTAAAGCTAACTTCATTAACTTTGTCCTTTGCTTGAGCAATGGCTGCATCAAGGTTATGTTGTCCAACTCGAATCTCTAAGTAGATCCGCTGTACAAACAGGAAAAAGGAAGAAGCCTTCTTAGAGCCGCTCCACTCTGCGCTTCCCTCATTGTGTCCCCAGCTCCTGCGTCCCTCCACCCCCACCTTCAAGAGCAGGCCCCACTTCGTTCTCCATCCCGCGCTGCCTGTCTGCCCCCGCCCTACTCAGCAGTCTTCCTTAGTAATAATCATTAAATGGTGACCCACGGCCCTGAGAGAGTACTTAGACCCTCCTGAACATCAAATCTACTACTAGGTAAATGCTTTTGGCACTGAAAGAATTTGATTACTTTTAGGAAAATTTTCTTTACATATGACTAAATTTCTGATCCTAAAGTACAGATTTTCTTTGTCTTCTCTCAGCCCATTTAGAAAATAACCAATCACCATCTGCCATATAAGAGTTTTATTTATTGGAATTCCATTGTTAATTTACCCTCCAGTCTTTGCTTGTTTTCAGGCCTGAGTAATCACAGTTCTTTTAACCTTCCCTCATGGTTCTTGTTTTTCAAGGCCTTTAATCAACGCTGTAGCTCTCCTTTGAACCCATTCCAAGCTCTCCAGCTCCCTCTTTGGTTGCTGCACTGAGATCTGGGCACAGGACTTGAGTAAGTTTCTAGCCAGTGCGGGTGTAATGGTTCTGCATACCAACGTCATGCCTGAATAGTGCTGATGCTCTGTTCATCAACAAGGACATGGGCGGCGTATACTCACCAGCTTACTCCCACCAAACGACACAAGCCTCGTAGAATTAGATTCCAAGCAAATGATGTGTTCACCAGGTGAATGTGAAGTAAAATAGAACCTTCCTTGTGGGCCATATAACTTGGACAATAATACCTAGGATTGAGGATTTCCATGGTTTAAGTTTATTATTCTCTACTTTCCCTTCTTAAAAATAGATCTCCCCTGTTAGTTTAGTAAAAACTGTGCAGTTCCTAAAGAAGAAATGGTTAATAAACATGAAAAATATTTATCCTTGTTGGTAAAAACAATGCGCACACACATACACACACACCCAGAGTAAGATAGCCCTTATTTACCATCAGATTGGCAAAGATTTAAATAAAAGTGTCCAGGGATAGTATTGAGAAATACTATTTCTAAACACTGATTTGGAAACGTAAGTTGAACAACCATTTGGAAAGCAGTTCAGCAATATGTATTAAAAATTAAAAGGTATGTGACCATTGACTCAGTGATTCTACCTACAGGAACTTATTCTATGGAAATGCACAAGTAGACAAAATTATATGTAAAGTGATATTCAGTGTGGTGTTTTTTGTAATGGCAAAGTTGCTTTCTTGAAATTACTTTAGTACCTTTCAGTAGGGGATTGATTAAATTTAGGCAAATCCAAATAAAGGAATGTTATGGGGCGAAAAAAAGAATATTATACCCATATGTGTTCTGTACTAAAGGTGTCCACGGTATCCTGCACTAGAGTAGTGTGTATAGGGCCCTATTTTTTATTAAAAAAATCATTTGTCAAAGTACAGGTGTGTGTATGTGTTTCTATAAGTTTAGAAGAAGATTCTGAAGAATACACACCAAGCTTTTAGTTGGTTATATTTGTTGGGCAACTTTGATTTTCTATTTAGCTAATTTCTATATTGTTTGCCATTTTAAAAACAGGTATAGGACTCGTGTTCTGTCATCAAGGAGTTTGGAAGTCGCCACTCTGTCCTCACAAGTAAAAGGGCAAACGCAACGAAAACCAATTCTTTTTAGATCTGTCAGAGAACTGAGGTCACAGGGTAAACCACTGCCCCCCAAATTGGAGGACAGACAAGCAAATACAAAGACTCACAACTTATCAGAGCAGAAACTGGGGGTACCAGTACTGGGTTCCTTTTATCTAGTACATGATGTCCAACTTTCAACAACAAAAAAATTTTAAGGAATACTAGATGGAAAAAAAAAAAACATAGTTTGAAGGGACAGAGCAAGCGTCTGACCCAAATTCAGACATGGCAGGGATATTGGAATGATCAGACCAGGAATGTAGAAAACCTGATTAATATGCTAAGGGCTCTAAAGGAAGGAGTAGGCAACATGGGTAATAGAAGCAGAGAGATGGAAATTGGAAGAAAATTTTAAAATGCTGGAGATCAGAAACACTGTAACAGGAAGGGAGAATGCCTTCGACGGGCTGGTTAGACTGGGCATAGCTGAGGAAAGACTCTCCCAGTGTGGGGATATGGCAGGGGATTTCTAAAACTGAAAAGCAAAGAGAGAAAAGACTGGGGGAAAAAAAAGGAATGGAAGACCCTAGAACTGTGGGACAATTATTAAAGGCAATACCCAAAGGAGAAGAAAGAGGAAGTAATGTAAGAAATACATAGGACAGGGCGCCCGGGTGGCTCAGTCGTTAAGCGTCCGCCTTCGGCTCAGGTCACGAGCCCAGGGCCCTGGGATCGAGCCCCACGTCGGGCTCCCTGCTCGGCGGGGAGTCTGCTTCTCCCTCTCCCGCTCCTCCTGCCTGTGCTCCCTCTCTCGCTGTCAAATAAATAAAATCTTTAAAATAAATACAAAGAACACTAATGACAGAATTTCCTCCTAGTTAGTGTCAGACACCAAGCCACAGAGCCAGAAAGCTCTGAGAACACCAAACAGAATAAATGCCAAACCAAGCCAAGAAAAGACTCTACACCTAGACAACCGCAGATATCAATGATAAAACCATCTTGAAAGAAGGCAGAGGGGAGAACGCCGTCGCTGTGGAGCAGAAGTGAGAATGGCGCCGGACTTACCCCCGAAGCCACGCAGGCGAGAACAGTGGGGGGAAGAGAGCCACCAACCTAGAGTTCTGTGTCCTGCAAAATTCTCTTTCAAAAGTGAAGGAGAAAGATTTTCTCAAAAACTGAGGGAACCTGTCACTGATAGGCCTACCTTGCAAGAACTGTTACGTTTTTCAGAGAGAAGGTAAATGATACAGGCCAGAAAGTCCGATCTACATAAAAAAAAAAAAAGGAAGAGCATCAGAGAAGGAATAAGTGAAGATAAAGTAAAAGCTAACTTTTCTTAGTTGATCTAATAGATAATAGTTTGTTCAAATAATAGCAGAAGTGTATTTGAGCATAGCGGATGTGTAAGTGAAATGGATGCCGACCAGGGACAGGAGGGAGGAATCCGGAATGCTTTGTTATTCTAGGTGCTGGCACTCCCTGTGAAGAGGTGTGTTACGTGAAGGTGGACTTGTGTTAGTTGCAAATACATATTGCAAACTCTAGGGCACCCATTTTTTAAAAAGTTAAAGTATAATATATAGAAGGGAGATAACATGGAATCACCTAAAATACTCAATTAGAATCACAAAAGACAGAAGAAGTGGAAGACAAAAATAGGAACAAAGAACAAGAGCAGAGACTAGGAAATGGGAACAAACGTGGTGCATATTCATCCAGTGATATCAATAATCACTTTGAATGTCTACAGCCATACCACCCTGAACGTGCCCGGTCTCATCTGATCTCGGAAGCTAAGCCTGGTCGGGCCTCGTTAGTCCTTGGATGGGAGATCAATAATCACTTTGAATGTCAGTGGTCTACATGAACCAAGTAAAAGAGAGTGTCAGAGTGGATCAAAAAACAAAACTATGTTTACAAGAAACCCACTTTAAATAGAAAGACACAGGTAGATTAAAAGTTAAGGGATGGAGAAAGATGTATATGCTAACTTTAACCTTACAAAAAAAGCCAGAGTGCTCATATTAACGTCAGACACAGTAGACTTCAGATCAAGGAAGATTATCAGGGATAATTACATAATGGGGCATTACATAAAGACGAAGAGGTCATTATCCAAGAAGACAAAACTATCCTTAATATGTAAGCACCGAACAACACGGTGCCAAACTGCATGAGACAAAAACTGACAGGACTGGAGGAGGAGGAGCAGAGTCTGCTGTTGGAGTTGGAGTCTCCGACACCGCTCTGTCAGGAGCGGGCAGATCCAGCGGCAGGTCAGGAAGGACATCGCTGGACTCGGCAGCACCGTCAGTCACCTGCACCTGGCGTACGAGTATTAGCCTGCTTCATCCAGCAGCAGCAGAGTGCGCACACTCTCAAGCTCGCCTGGCGCGCTCACCAAGACGGACCCCGTTCTGCGCCACCAAACACACCTTAACACATTTAAAATAGTAGAAACCCATCAACTGTATTTCAATAAATAATAATGGTAACAGAAACTACACAAAGTCTGCTCTCAGAACACAATGGAGTTAAAGTAGAAATCAATAACAAAGATCCCAAAACATGTCAAGATTAAGCACATTTCTAAATAACACATGGGTTGAGGAAGAAATCCTAAGAGAAATTTAAGAACATTTTGAACTAGGAGGGAATTCTGGGAAGATGGTGAGGTAGGCAGCACCAGGAGTCTGTCTTCCCACCCAGACCACAATTACACTGTTAGAATCTGTCTGATGTAGCTATTTTGGAACCATGGAGTCTATTGAAGGCTTGCAATTTCCAGGGGAAGCCTTGTGTGGTAAATTGTGGTTAATTTTGGTCGGTGTCAGCTCATAGCACGAGAGCAGCTACCCTTCCTCATCCCTACCCCCAGCCACGTGGCGGGCTGATGTGCATGAGTTGCTGGACAGCCTGCACACAGCATGTGGAAGCCAGGGTGGGCAAAAAGGACCCTGTCCTCCAAATATCAAGGACCTTCATAATTGTCACACACAAGGGATCCTCAATAAGAATATTAGCAGATTTCGGGCTGCTTGGGTGGCTCAGTTGGTTAAGCATCCGACTCTTGATCTCATGATGATGAGATCAAGACCTGCATTGGGCTCCATGCTGGGCATGGAGCCTCCTCTAAAAAAAAAAAAAAAAAAAAAAAAAAAATCAAAGAAAATTTCAAATAGAAACTTGATCTCATCATCATGAGATCAAGACCTGCATTGGGCTCCATGCTGGGGAGCGCCCCAAAAAAAAAAAAAAAAAAAAAAAAAAGAATCATAGCAGACTTCTGATCAGAAACTTTGGAGACCAGAAGGCAGTGGGTGGGTGTACTCAAAGTGCTAAAAGAAAAAAAGGCCAAAAAGCACAGGAAAAGATGCTCACCATCACTAATCATTAGGGAAATGATGGAATACAAAAGCATGTGTTTGTATGGTATGTATATGTTGTTACTGTCTGTACTGCCTACCCCACCAGCCATGTCTTTCCCTGGGACTGTCAATCACATGCCATAGGAATGGACATACGATCAAGGTGGGCAACTTAGAGTACCCCAGGCCCCCAGACACACTAACCCAAGTAAAAACAGAGGCCTTGTGGAGGTGCTGATAAGGACCTTAAAGGGGGATCTCGTAAGACATTTTGAAACTAGAGCTGTTTCTTGTTCTTCAAAATGGGGAGAGCTTTCTTGAAAATCAGGCCTATGGGATGAGAATTTTGTCTCCCTTAGGTCAGGAAGAGGGTAGGGTATATATTAGGCTCACATTTAATATTTGTTGAATGCAGAATGAATTAAAATATTTTTCCTCCCTTGTAGAAGGGGGTATTAGATCAGGCAATTATATTTTTGAAGAATGAACCTTCTCTGTCTTAAAAATAGTGACTGGAATGTTCTGTGACGCTCTTTAGCTCAGTTAAAATTTGGATTCAGCATTTAATAAGCCATGGAGACATTTCCAGATTGCTCATGAAAGAACAGAGGAGAACTGGGTTTTTGTATAACCAGGCAAAAAGCCCAGGAGGCAGGCTGTAGGGAGGGGAGGTAGCTACACGGACAGGCCCCAGCAGAACCACCGTCAGGCAGGTGCTAGGTGCACCAGGAGAAGGTGCTGTAGCAGCCAGGCTCAAGGGTCCCATCCATCCAGCTGGAGTGGAGTCTCTCCAGTGACCCCACTCCCAGTCTCCACAGGAGTGGAGGTGTCAGAATGTCTCCTGAGCTCAGATCAGGCGAAATCATCCAGTTTAATGAGAACAGGAACTTTGTAGCCTCTCCTCCCCAGAGGAGATGCCTGTTCCGGTCTGTGAGGTGTTGCTACCCATCCTGCTGTCCCATGGGCACATCCCCAGGGCAGCTCTAAGTCCAAAGGGAAGTCGTCCTCGCAACAGTGTTTGAGTGATTGGACTGAGCAAGCCAGTATCCTGAGCTGGCACGGTGGGGAACGGAGGTCACTGTTAACACCCACTGCACAGATGAGAAAACTGAGGGCTGGAGCAGTCAACAACCTGCTGAAGATTGAGCTTGACAGTCCACACTTGAACTTGGCTCTGACTCCAACACTCACATTCTCTCCACTGGATCCTGGTGCCTCCTCTACTCCTGCTAACCCCCTAATGAGGAAGCGGCCAGGGAGACCAAACAGACCGAGAGGCCGCCAGGGAGGCGACGAAGACTGTGGCCCAGCAAGACCGGTGAACCTCAGGATGACGAGCATGAGGCCTGTCATTTACATCGTTCTGAAATATTTTATGTTAAGGTCTCTGCTCTTGAGCTGGACGATAGGCTCATTGAAGGCAGGCACTTTCCGCATCTCTGTGTAGTCCCTCTATTCAGGACTAGACACGTTAAAAATTGTCAGTTCTGGTTAATGAGTGCTTGTGCAGAGGTTTTTCTTAAAGTTTGTGGGGATACATGATATGTGAATTTTAGCAAATTAAAAGTTTTAGTAGCAAAACGTAAAAGAATGTTTTACCTCATCATTGTAAGTTCTAACAGTCACAAACATTCCCAAGCCAGGAGCAGATTCAAGGAAATCTTGTTTGCGTATGTCCCATTGCTGTATCTTGAAAGTCCCTGTTTCAAAAACATAAGACATTTATTATAAAATAGGTGGAGGAAATAGTTGCACATGATTACTGATAAATGAATTTACTTTATTCAAATTATCCAAATCACAAAATACTGTGAGCATGGTGATGAGGTCACATAGCCAAGTGGGAAGATCCCGGGGTGAAGGGGAAGGCGTGTGGGCTCTTGGTCCAGCCCTCACTGTTGCTCCCCTCTGACTGCACCACTCTGGACTCAGCTCCCTCGGAAGATGGGGATAATATGTATCCCTCCTAAGTCTCAGAGTTTCGAGGACTACTGAAAAACTAAAAAGCCTGTGCAAGCTTTCTATCTAGAGTGTAAACTTCGTGTGGGTCAGGACTTTCCCAGGGTTGCCTGGTAGATCGTCTTTGGTTTCTTCCTCCTCTAACTCACCCGCACGATCCCTTCCTAAGGCCTAGCTGTGTGCTGTCGAGTCCTTCCTATGCCTGCCTTCGGAGGCTCCTGCTAAAGTTTGTGTTGTCACCGAAAGAGCCTCCCACTTCCTCCTTTTAGTATATGGGAGCATCATATGGCTTAACTTGCCCCTTGAGCCCTTGCAAGGTACAATGGTAATGAAAAAAGAGTTCATGTTTATTGAAAGCCATTGAAAAATAGCTAACGGTGCTGCCTTGTGCATGCCAGGTACCATGCTGAGCACTTAACATGTCGTCCCATTAATTCTTCACATGTGCTCCCAGGAGGTATTTTATTCCTTCACCAAGTCAGTTGATAAGTATATAATGAGCTCCTCCCACAGCAAGAGCACTGTTCTAGGAGCTGAGGACAGAAGTGAACAAAATAGACACTATCTTTGTTTCCATGGAGCTTTTGTACAGACAGCAAGGAAATAAGTATTTAATGTTAGGAATGCTGTGAGAGAAAGCAAGAAAAAGGGATAAGGGACTTTGAGTATTATATGGGGAAGTCAGCGAATGCTTCTCTGAAGTTTGAGAAAAGACCCAAAGGAATAGGGGAGGAAAATATGTATATATTTTACACTAAGTATACTTACAAATATGTTTAAATTATATCTCTACATCACACTCAGTGCTAACGATTTGCCAAGCATTCTAAGGAATTTATACACACAGTCTGAATTTTCATGACAACACTATGTAAGTGACATTATATATTTTTAAAGATTTGTTTATTTATTTTAAAGGGGGGAGGCAGGGGCAGAGGGGGAGAGAGTCCCAAGCAGACTCTGCACTGAGCATGGAGCCCCACGTGGGGCTCGATCCCACAACCCCAAGATCATGACCTGAGCCAAAACCAAGAGTCCAATGTCCAACTGATTGCGCCACCGAGGCGCCCCAGTGATACTATTTTTATGACAATTTTGCCTATGATAAAACCAAAAGATAGAAAAAGTAATTTGCTTAGGTCACAGCTAGCAAGTGGCCGAGTCAAGGTTCAACGCAGCAGGGTCATGGCTTTCCCCTTTCTACCACACAACGCCGGCTCCTTCTGGGGGAAGATGGTTCCATGCGGGGCGCATGCCAAGGTCCTGGGGCAAGAGCATGCCTGGGAGCCCAAGGAACTGCGGAGTGGCTGCAGTGAGGAGCGCGGGGAGAGAATGGTGTGAGATGTGGTGGGAGTGGGCAGGGGCCAGATCACGGAGGGCCTGCACCTTCATTGTAAGGGTCTGGGGGAGCGGTTGGTCGGAGTGGAATGATGTGGCTTTCAGTCTGCAATATTGGTTGTGTGGGGACAAGCATGCAGGATCCAGAATGGAATCACTCAGACCAGGCGCAAGTGGAGGAGGTTGTAAAAGGCGTTGTGTTCTGCGTTATTGTCCCGACTTTGCAGGTTGGAAACTGAATCCCGGATAAGGTCACGTCGCTCGAGAGCTGTAGAGGCCAGATTAGCACCAGCTAGTCTGATTCCAGAGCCCGGAGCCCTGGGTCCGGGGCTACGGGGCCTCCCTGGAAGGCAAGGACACTAGTCTCTGACAGGGGCCTCAGACAGGAATGTCCCTTGGGTGCTGACTGTAGGGCGGCCCCTACAAAGTGAGGCACTGGGGTCGGGAGCCCTACAGACCCCATTTTCTAGGAGGGGAGCATCAGCAGCAACCTCTCGGCTGGGCCTGCGCTTAGTTGAAGGCATCTTTGACTGGTACTGGTCCTTTGTCCCTGCGGTTTTTAACCGGTATTAATGTATATTCTGTACTGACTCCCGACAGTCTTTTAAAAAGTATCGCTTTT